CTTTTTGCGTTTAGCTATTGAAGAGTTTGCTATTATTTTTTCTGTTGTGACTGCACTTCTGAGCCTTTCTATAAGTCAACCCTTTCTCCCCATTTCTCACGTTTGTGCGACTTGACGGAGGGTGATTCTCTCAAAGCTCGTCTACTGTCTCGGAGGGAATAGGAGAGTTACACGAAAAATCTATCACAAAGCAATATGTCTCACAAGGCTACTTGAGATGAAATAAGATTCCTATTATTTTGAGGTTACTGTTGCAGATCGTCTGCTGTTGGCGTTATGGAGCAAACACGCACGCATGCAGAGGAAGCCAACACTTCTATAGCGGTAATTGTTTTTATTGTTCACGCTTCGCTTTTTGTAAGAAGGTTTTCTTCAGAAAAATGTTATCTCTTTTGCTGACGAGGTAACCGAAAGAAGCAATTGTGTGAGCGATAATGTGACCGTTTTGTTGAAATCCATACGTGAAAGAAGCGAAGCAATCCAGGCGGCTGTGGAAGAAAATGAGAACGTTCGCAAAAATGATCAGAATAATCAAGTAGGTTTTTCACTAAATGAAAAAGATGTGCTTTTCAGTGTAGCAGTTATTCTTTAGGTGAATGTTGAAAACACATTTGCCCAAAATTTGCGTGATCGCCTTGGAAAGGTGAATAAAGAGATGTTAGCGATGGTAGAAGAAAACTATCTAAGTCCGAAGAAAACAGGTACTTGTTTTGAATGTGTCGGTCTACGATTAGTGTTTGCTCCCGGAGTTGATAGTTCTAGTTGGTCCCCCCATTCAGCTTTTTTGTGTAGGTAAAACACCTCTGAAGTCGCACTATTCGGTTCCAAAGGACTCCGAAATACCGCCGGTGCCGAAAAAGGAGAAAATTCTTGCCTCAAATGGATTGGATGTTCAGGTAAACCTTTCATTATCTATTTTATTCGTGTTAGTGCTTGATTTCTGATTTTTCAGACACCACGCAGGTCAACGACTCGAACTCGTGAATCCTTGTTGGAAGTTCAAAACATCTGCCTTTCACCAGATACCCTCGCTGCTGCCAGGAAAAGTCGCTTAGAAGACATCGGAGAGGTATTGTTGTCCTTGATAATCTTCATTAGCTGTCAGAAAGCTGGAGTGATCTGGAAATAACTCCACACTAAGCTACAAAGCGGAACGTTTTATCCAGATTATGGTCTATATGGACGATGGGGCGGAAGTGGTGTAGTGGCAAGTGGCACGCTTACCACGCGAGCGGTCCGGGGATCAAATCCTGGGTCGTGAGTCGCCCGGGCCAACCAAGCCTTCCATCCCTCCGGGGTCGGTTAATTGGTACCAGACTTGTCTGGGAGGATAAAAACACTGACTTGTACATCGGCTGGCCCCCGCAAGTCATTGTATAGGCCACATCGCATTCAAACGCCACTACGAATGTACAAATGGAAGTAGAATGCGTGCCGCATCCCAAAAAGGGATTGATCAACGGCAAATGCTTTATCCTTTATCCTTTATGAATGCGTGCCTTTTGAGAGGTGACAAGAACTTTTCGATTCCCGTCAAGTTTGCTAACTCGACGGCAAATCGGGCGAAACTCTTTCGACGCTTGTCAAAACGGCACCTTTGTATGACCATACATTAGCAGTTTCCGAATACGCAGCTTTTTCATCTTTTTTTGTTTGAATACTGATTCGTAAGCCTAGATATACTGCATTTTTACTGTGCATAGAGCTGATTACATTTCGTAACAATTCAAAAGTAGTATTGTTCATCCGCTGTCGTTCACATCTCACCTCTTAGAGAAATCAGAAGGCTAGGCGATTATGTAGAAGATATGTATTGATTGGAATTAGGATGAGTTTACATGCCTGAAAGCCCTTTGAGGAAAATTAAAAGCTGAGAAAGCACCTGCTATTTCATCATTAGACCCCATATTACCAATTGTTTCGTGGCTTAAAGGCAGCTATGAAGTGGGGACACATCAGGAGAGCATATGCATTACACGAATCAGTTACTTGGCTGCTAGAGAAGCGAGATGTAGCACTTTCACGGCGGAAGATTCGCTGGCAAGACTGCAACCCTGCGTTGCGCAGTTCTCAACGGCCACGTTGCGCTTCGCCCGATTAGACACGTTCTCTCGCGCGAACATTCACACTCGCACGCTCGAGCCGTCTGTGTTCTCCGCCCATACAGCGTGCGTTGAGGATCTCTCAACGTGCCGTTGAGAACTGCGCACGCACGGTTGACTCTGTTCGCTGGTTGCTGAGCAGGACTTCGAAAGCACTCCGCCCCAAAAGTCCACTAGTTTAGTTGGTGATTTGGACGAGCTGCGTTGCCAGCAGCGGCACAACTGGAGCAACTCGATTGGAGCGTGGTTTGGCATGGTGCCACCAAACGCGTTGCGATGAACTCGTTCATACGTCCGCTTTCTGAGCTGTTACCTGTTCATGAGTGAAAACCAACGGCCAAAAAAGGGGTCCCATTTTGCGTTTTTTTTTTGACGGATTTCTCGCTTTTTCGCCACTTCCGTACCACTGAGCACCACCACGTCTCCTTTAAAGGCAGCGGTTACGATATTTCAAGAAAGGTTTGGAGGAGACGTGGTGGTGCTCAATGGTACGCCAGTGGCGAAAAAAGCGGAGAAATCCGTCAAGAAAACGCAAAACGGGACCCCTTTTTTGGCCGTTGGTTTTCACTCATGAACAGGTAACAGCTCAGAAAGCGGACGTATGAACGAGTTCACGCAACGCGTTTGGTGGCACCATGCCAAACCACGCTCCAATCGAGTTGCTCCAGTTGTGCCGCTGGCAACGCAGCTCGTCCAAATCACCAACTAAACTAGTGGGCGGAGCGCTTTCGAAGTCCTGCTCAGCAACCAGCGCACCTTTCGTCGTGAAAGCGCTACACCTCGCTTCCTGGCAGCCAAGTAACTGATTCGTGTGGTGCATATGCTTCCCCGATGCGCTCCCTCTTTATCGTAATCGCTGCCTTTAACCCTTCTTGAACCTATCGTAATCGCTGCATCTGAGCTCCTGAAACAAGCCGCGGCACTATGTATGTCTAAGCAGTGGCCCCAAGCTGCTCTTCATGGTCAGGTTGTAAATTCCAAAAGGGATTACTTTTTTGCAGGAGTCCTCCATCAGTCTTTCCAATCGAGCGAACAGTGAATCTTTGAAGGAAGGCCAAGAAAATTAAGAAAAAAAAGTCTAGTATTTATTGCTTACCTGCTCAAGTTAAATCTGACCTCTAATCTCTGTACTCTTCAGAATTGCAGTACTTTATGTGTCTTAGACAGGCTACTCACTGTATCCATGTTCGTCCGATTCAATCATCGTCATGCTAACATTAGCATTACATTGTCTAAATTTTGTCATGTTTACATTTTTTAGTGCACTCACCTATTTACTATGTTTCAAATTCATAGAAGATTCTCATATGAATTTGGGTTAATTTATACCCATCAGTCGACACGGTCTTTTCATGCATTTCTGACATTATTTCTACTTAATAAAGACTTTTGGCTCTTTTTTGTTTGTGTGATCCCAATCAATTTTCTTCTACGTCATTGTGTCGGCCACGCTTTTTTTATAGCCACCTGCTTTGTGTCCACAGATTAGCTCACGTACCTATGTGTTAGCGTATAAGTTGAAAATATGTTCACTTTTTACTTATTGCTAGTTATTTCTTGAAATCCACAAGTGGCTGCTTACAATTCACTCTAGTCACCCCTGTAAATGGTCAGTTTAACCGAGCTCAAGGAGAGTGTTTGCTTGATCAAAGATCGCAGAGGTCACTGCCACTTATTGTGGGTTAAAGGCAAAAATCGGGATGGAATTGATGCGATGATTCCGCTCAAATGTGAAAGTAAGGGGATGGGAGTGGACCGCCAGTGGAGAAAAAAAGGAAAGAAAATTCTGAAATACACAGGAAATATGAGCATTTGCTCTGGAGAAGTTCAAAAGACAGGCAGGGAGATGAGAGATAATGTGAGCGCGGAGAGTGGTAGAGAAGTCCGAGAAGAGAGAGCATAGCACATCAACGTGGCGACGCAGACAAGATATCGATCGGTGTGGCGGACCATGTCATGTTTGGTGGAGTCTGTTAGAAGTCCATGAGCCCAGACAGTCTAGTGAAGCGCTTCGATATAAAAAGGTGGCTCTGTCTTTGCACCTGCGCGTCCAGCTCTTCTAGCCATGGTAAGGGCACTTTAGGTGGGTCTGAGCCCGAACTTTGCTTTTATGGCATTGAAGTGCTAATTAATTT